GAGGGGAGTGAGGCAGGCGCTGGGGGGCGGCAGGGAATCTGATTGGTGCCGTGTTAGGGGCAGTGGGAGGTGGGGACAGAGACTGACGCCGGCTGCGGGGGTCCCGGGGATGTGGTCGGGGTGGCGGACTAGCCAAGGGTGCTGGCTGAGGCCAGGGGTGGGGAGAAGTTCCTGGGAGGGGTGGAGGGAGAGGCGAGAGCTGAGGACAGAATCTGGGGAGGGGCCAGGAGGAGGGAGGGGACAAGGTGGGGGAGACCCAGGAGGAGGTTCACATTTACTCCGGGGCAGTGACTTTCCAGGAGGAAGGGGTGGCCCCCAGGGTCGCTGAGAGAGGTAAGAGGGTGGCCTGGGCCTCGCTGATCAGCCCGGGGCAGGGGCAGGGGGTTGACGGGCCATGTCTGCCACGGTGTCCTCGGCTCTTCCTGACTATCTTGACTTTCAGTGGCAGTTTCAAAAAATACAGAGAATTACTGAGAGACAGAGTGAATTTCCAGGCTCTTCAAGTTTTGGACGGTTAGCGTCCCAGGGCCGGCGTCCCACGTGACAAGCCGCCTCGGCTGCTTCCTAAACCGGACTCCAGGCGGCTTGCTCGTCCGGAATAGCAGGTCCAACGTCCACCCGGCCAGCTTCTGCCGGGACAGCGTCCACTTGGACGACTTCTGCCGGGAGGCCACTCGATTCCTGTGAAACTCCTGGCTCTGCTCTCTGGGGACCCTCCTCCCTCCCTCCTCCCCCTCCTGCTCNCTCTGCTCTGTGGGGACCCTCCTCCCTCCCTCCTCCCCCTCCTGCTCCAGGGGTCGGTGGCCTTTCCCGGAGGGAGGGTGGGCGCTGAGCAGGTGCGTCCTGGGCCTTCCTTTATCCCCACAGGGGGCTCTGAAAGCTCAGACCTGGCCCGGGAACCCAGATGAGGCTCCTGAGAGCCGGGGGCAGCAGAGCCTGCGAGGGGGCCGGGCGGCCCGAGTCCTCCGTGCCTCTGCCGGGCGCCGGGTCGGTTGGTCCTGGCAGCGGCGACCTGAATGATCCGGGCCAGCGGGCACATTCCTTTTTGTAACTGGAGGCTCTTTTAGATGCTGGAATGTAGATGAAACACTCGGAAGGCAGAGGCGAACACATTTCTCTCTCGGCCTTGGTTGTACGCTGCTCACACGGACACACACGGGCACACAGACACACATGGACATGCATACACACAGAGACACAGACATGCACACACATGGACACGCATACACACGCACACACATGGGCACGCACACACATGGGCACGCACACACACACGGACATGCACACACACAGACACACACACATGAACACACACACGGACACACACACACATGGACAGACACACACAGGCCATGAGAACAACCGTTGGCCAGCTCTGGGGTCCGGCGAGTCCAGCCACCCGAAGGGGCTCCAGGCTCCCCACTGACAGGAGGGTCCAGGCAGGCTGCTTCCCGAGCATCTTCCCTGTCGCTCTCAGGCATCTTGGGAAGGACATCGGTCACCTGTCCCCAGGAGCCGAGGACACGCACACCCTCCCCTTTGTCAGGAGTTTCCTTAACATCTTGCCAGCTCTTGGTGTCTGGGCTCCAGTGCCGCCCGTGACACTGTGGGGACATTTGAGGACCAGCCTATTTATTTTGTTTCGTGGACCCACAGATATTAAGCACTTTTTGTGCTGACCCTGGTATTGTCCGTCTGTTACACGTATTTCATCTCCATCGGCCCAAGTTCCAGCTGCTCTTAGCCTCAGGCCCCGTCTGACTCGATGCACTTTGCTCCCAGGCGCTCGCTCTGTTACCTCCCCAGGCAGCTGCCCACGGGACCTTCCATCCACGGCGTGGAGCGGGGACTCCAACGGGATCCCCAGGGAGCCCCTTTCGGGGTGCTCTGGGATGAACCGGCGCGAGGGAACCACCGTCGCTCAAGCCTCAGGAGGCGAGTGAAGCCCCGATGCACACTGGTGACGACCAGGGAGTCACGGCCGAAGCCGGCGAGGGGTGTGCCGTGTCCGGAACGGGCCGGAGAGGGCGCGTGGGGCTTTACCTAGCGGCAGGATCCCGTACAGGGCGACCAGCTGGCGGACGTCGGACAGGGACGGCATGGGCTCTATGGACAGCCGGCGGAGAGTGGCCCCCAGGTAGCTGTACTCACCTGGGGAAAGGAAACGGGACAGATGAGTGGGCGCCGCAGTCTGGGCCGCACGAGCGGGGCGCGTGGACGTTCACGCAGGAGGCCGATGGAACATTTCCGAGCAAATATAATCCTATGGGGGGGGGGCGCAGTGTGAAGGATACACGTTTTCTCAGAGAAAGGCTCGAGGAAGAACTGTCCGATCGCGAAAGCAGACAGGTATGTTGACCGCGACAGTAACCTCTCCAGAGTGGAAAAAAATCACCTCTGACTACTGGGCTTGTGAGCAGGAACAAAGCTCTAAGCAGGACACGTGCAGGCGACCGAAACGTGGCAGCTTTGTTTGATTTGTAGCCCAGGAGCTGCCGAATGACCTTCGCACAAACCGGCGGCCACGTGGAACCCCCCCCCGGGGACAGAGCACCTCTGAGTCCAAAATACACCCATTGGGAAGGAGGGACACGAGTCCAAACATCTCTTTTGGAGGGTGATGTTCATTTACATTTTTAAAGGAACCCCAAAGGAGACGGAAATAGATCTTCACAGGCTTGACCAGAAGGCACCAGAGGGCGTAACTGGGCCGCGTCGTAACCCTGAAGCATTATTTTCCGGCTAATCCGGGGGCGGTCACCGCGCAGACGAGCCTGGCCGGCCCCTCGGTGGAGACGATGGGCCCTGACGCGCTCACGGTGCCTCTGGATCTGCACCGGATCCGAAGTGAAAATACCAGACGACCGTTTCTCCCGGCTCTTTCCGGAACCGGTACGGATGCCGCCGAGCTTTTGATGTCACATGCGTGCGGCAGACACATCCGTGTGTGTCTATAAAAATACTGAAGAAATACCCTTCTGTGCGTACGAAACACTGGAAATACCGAAAGCTTTGGAGTCTCTTCCAACGCGGGGAAAACCGCAGTTAGAAGTCGTCCTGGATTGACGATTTGAATGAAAAGAGACTAAAAATAAATGACCGGCATGTCCGTGGTCCTGGACTGGGTTTTGGGTTGAAAAAGACAAACAGTTCTGCAGGACTTTATTAGGACGGCTGGTGGGATCGACTGGTAATTAGACGTTAGCGGACAGTATCGTATTCGCGTTAAATTTTCCGAGCGTGAGCATCCTCGGTGGCCATGCACTAGGATGCCCTTGTTTACTGCGGACGCGGGACAGGGACAGTGACAATGACGTCCGCCTCAAGCGGAGGGATTGTGTAGAGTTTTAAGCTTTAACGGTGTTTTCAGATCATCAGGTTATTATTATTTTTTTTAAAATAAAGAAAAAGACATTAGTTGAAGATGGGGCCGGCAACCATCCCCAACACCTTCCTCTGTGGCGGCCCCTCTGGAAGGGCCCCTCCCGTAAGGACCGAGTCACGGAAGTAGCTGGGGGGCATTTGTTTAAACGGGAATTCGGGGCCCTGGTCGGTGTGGCTCAGTGGTTGGAGCGTCGGTGCCCGGCCTGGTTGGGGTGCATGTGGGGGGCAACCAGTCAATGGGCCTCTCTCACATGGGTGTCTCTCTCTCTGTCCCCCTTCCACTCTCTCTGAAAAGCAACGGAAAAAATATCCTCAGGTGACAATTAAAAACAAAAACAACGTGAACGCAGGAACAGTTCTCCCTGACCCAGCCTGTACCAGAAAGAAAGCCCCGGGAACCTCGACAGCAGGTTCGAAAACCTGCTTCTGCCCCATCCGGGGAGAGAGCCGGACCCCTCGGTCCACAGCACAGAACGAACTCAAATCCATTCGAACCCGGCAGACTACACGCCGCTGTGGGCCAGCCCCGGGCGTGGACCACACACGGGGCAGATTTCCAGCTCCGGGAGCTCAGCACCCGGGGCGGCGCGGGCCGCGGGCGGGCTCTCCTCCGGCGCGCCTTACCGATGTAGTCGGAGAGGTTGACCTTCAGAGCCTGGACCAGGAGCCCTTCCTGCACCAGTTCCTTGTACAGGGACTCGATGGTTCTGCGGAGGGAGCAGACGGGGGTTTCAGGGGCGCGGAGCCAGCGGCGTTTCCGCCATCGCCCCGTCTGCAGGGAACTCTAACCAGGCTCCGTGTCAGGGTACGCCTGGGCACGTGCCCGCACACGGACTCTCAAGGCGCTTCTGCAACTTGGGGATATATTAGGCTTTTTAAAAACAATACGTCCACACGTCCACGTGTGCGCCTGATGTTTCCCGTGAATGGGGACGCTCCCCGGGGCCGCCCGCCCTTCCATCGGTCTGTGCGGCGGCTCTGGTAAGAATCAGAGGTCACCCAACAACTGAACACAACGGGCCGCTATTCCACGTTCGTTCAGTCAGCGCCTGCAGGCCGCGTGGGCCACGCATCCTACGCGACACTGACCTGCCGTTTAAGCCCCCAGCACGAGAGTGTAAAGGAAACCCGGGTAAAGGAGGCTTACGGGGGAAACGCTTCGAAATGAAAGGAACACCGTCCACGGCTCTGAGTGGGATGGTTTTTTAGGAGGATATTATGCTTTTCCAGTGTTTGCAGATGTCAAAACCACTTCCCTGAGAGGTCCTTGGGCACGTAGCCAGCGCACGGGTAATTTATACTAATTGAGGAAAAATATGGAGGAACTATGCCCCTTGACGAATGAACCTCCCGGGGAAGTTGACGGGGGCCTGGCTTTGCAGGAACTCGGGCAGGTCAAGTTCAAACACTGTCTGGCATAGTCCTTCGAGATGTTCTGTCTTTTCCCTTTGCTTTCGAGGGGCCGTGCTCTTTGGCCCTGCCCGCGCCGTTCTTTAGACTGAGGGATTGTAAACATGACCATATCTAAGCAGCAGCTTGGCCGTCCTGGGGTCCCGGGTAGTGTGGTTAAAAGAGGCTCCAGAATATCAGACTCAAGCCAAATACCGTTGGGATAAGTGCTAATTCAGTGACCCCAGTCTTTGATCGACTGGAATTTTATTCTACTAAATATATTGGAAATAGGGGGCCCTCAGCTGAGAATTAGGAAGTTTTAACTCCGACGGAACCTGGGATAACGGTACCTGACCTGTGCCGAGGAAACACCAGCTGCTGAGCAAGTTGCTTAATGTAACCATGTAACATGCATAAAATGGTAACGCAAAATGCGAGAGTTTCTAAAATAATCGAAACCATGTACGAAGAGGACACAAACCCCTATTTGGATCTCCCGGTGAAACAGGCTTTTGTTACAGGACACAGTTTCAACTTTGAAACTACCTTAAGCTATTGTAAAAATACCCGTTTAAGGTTTCCATTAATTTGATGAAGCAGACGTTTCTTACGGTACGTCCGTATTTCCTCAGAAGTTGGGTCAGGATGATGTATTTTAAACAATTTCTTAGGAAGCCCATGAATTTTAAAATGTAAAGAAGGTCACAGGAGTTCAGAGGCAACGGGCCCACCTGTCCCTTCTGGGCCCCCCTTCCTGGCGCATCTCCCAGTAGGTGCCGCTCCTTGTTCGGGACCCACAGGGGCTGGGCACTGTCCCCGGGACACCCAGGGAGGAGCTGGGGTGTGGAGAACCCACAGGGGCCTTTGCCGGGTGGGGGCTGACCGTGCTGTGCCCTATTCTCATCAGGGCACCCCCCACCCCCCAACAACACAGGGCCCTCCTTACCTGTCAGGGGTCAGGTCTTTGTCTTTCCCCTTTTTACTTTTCTTCCCCTTATTTTTCTGGAAGAAAAAGGAAATGTCCAAGGGTTTAGGAAAAACAATTGACTCTAGAAATCAGCTAAGGGAGCCGGGGTCTGGAGGCGGCGGGGAGGCCGAGGTGAGAAGCTGGCCGCGGTGCGCGTAACCGTAAAGCAGGTGGGAAGCACGTTTCCATGGACATAGGGACTGGCCCGGAAGGTCCCCCGGCGCCCAGTGGACACGTCCCTGGGTGGACAGAAAGTGAGGTCAGCGCCGTGAAACTGCATGGGCCGCATTCCCATCAGCCCCGGGCACTGTGATGCGCTTCCTCGGGCTCGGGCACAGGATACGACAAGGGGTGAGAGTGCCGTGGGCACGGGCAAGCAAGCCACGCGTGTCTCTGGCACCCAGTCACCTCTCTGCTAGCGTCCGGTCTGAAACCAGGAGCCTGCAGGGCCGGGCAGCTGTCCACCTCGGGGACTCGCGACAGCGGGGAAGGAGCAGAGGGCCTGGTCCTTTATAACAGGGCTGCTGGCCTCTCCGCTCTGACGAGAACAGCCCTCCCGCGGGCAGGTCAGGACCCCTCCGCACAGGCACCAAGTGTCCCAGCCCCGTCTCTCTCCCTTTCCCAGTCCATCAGGCTCAGGCCCCCCCCGGCCACCGGGGATCCGAGCTGCACAGGACTGGCCACCGGGCCCTTAAGGCTCCGCTCTCTCCCCTCCGTGCTAGTTCCTCATTCATTCATTCATTCGTTATTTTTATTGCAGCGTAATTTATGTACAGTTACGTCTATCCCCATGTAAATTAAGTTCTACATATCACTGTGTTCGCTTTTACGTGTAACCGTATAACCACACGCCACTCGACATACAGAATGTGTTCCCATCGCCCGAACTCCCTCCTCCCTCCTGCCTCCCAGGGGGTCTGTGACCACGTCCCCGACGCCCCGGACACCCGGGGCCTGCTCTCCTGCGTGGATCCTGCGCCGCAAAGCCTTTCACGCCTGGCTTCTTTCAGGCAGTATCACGGCGGCAAGACTCACGTGTGTGGCTGCAAGTAGCTACGCTTCATGTTGTTGGGCTTTTTAAAGTTAATTTTTAAACTGTGGGATAACGGTAGGTTCACATGCAGTTGTAAGGAATCATACAGAGAGATCCCGGTGCCTTTGCCAGGCTGCTCCCGATGCCGACCGACGTCCTGCAGAACCGCCCGAGAAGGTCACCGCCTGGGCCTTCTCGTGTGGGCCCGGGCAATGCGACTCCACCGTGGTGAGGGGGTGAATCGCCCCGTCCCTGAGCCCACAACCCGAGGGCTAACCGGTGAGACGGAAACTCAGGAAGGGAAGGCGGGCTCCCTGCGAGCGGCCGGGCAGCCGGGGCCCGCGGGGGCTCCTTCCCGCCGCGGGGCTCTGCCCTGGGCTCGCCCCTCCCCGCGCTCCCTCGCTACTCACATTTTTACCTCCTTTCTTCTTTCCCGGTTTGGTCGGAAGCTCCTTCTCTCTGTTCACAGCGAGTTTTAAGTTTTTCAGCTCCTGTCTCATCAGCTCATCCACCTACGTGAACACAAAACACGCCTCCTTTGGGCGACGCTGCGCCTCACGCGTGCCCAGCTCCGGCGGGTCGTGAGGACAACGCGGGCCGACCCGTGGCCGCCGTGACCCACGGGGCCGGGGCGGCTCTACCTGCACGCGGATCTCCGACTCCAGCTCCTGCCGCTTCTCCTCCCGGATCATGTCCAGATCGTAGCCCTGGCAGAAGTTCCACGACTCGTCCCTTTTCTCCCACAGCTCTGTGCGCCCGGGGACCGAGGACCGCGGACCGAGGACCGAGGACCGAGGACAGAGGACAGGAAAGTGAGCGCTTCTTCCGACGCCAGGAGCAACCAGAGCGGCTCCCACAGTGGAAGACGCGCATCTACTTTCTAGCCTACGGCGCGGATTCTACGCCCGCTCGGGAAGGAAGGATCTGGGGCGGGGCGTGCGGGGTTCACGTGGCCTTCGCTTCGGCCTCCCAGGCAGGAGACGCAAATGCGTGTAACACCGACAACGTGAAGGAGCCGCTGATGCGAAAATATCAAATAGAGAGGGAGCCGCGAATAGCGTCTCTACGTGAGCGTTACCAAGTAAGAAACAATGTATCAGTTGTGGGTTTGCAACTGTTACCAAGTAAGAAACAATGTATCAGTTATGGGTTTGCAACTGTACAGTTGCGGGGGACTGTCTCACTGTTCAAATCGCTAACTGCTGGCCCGAGTGCTGCTTCTTCAGCTCAGCAGCCCCGAGCCGGGCCCGTTAAAGACAACGCTGAACACTCAGGCCCCACTGCTTGCCCCCCGCGCCACGGCTGTCTGGCTGAGCTACTTTTCGGGGTGTTCGCGAGGTCACGCAGATTTACACTTCCTTCCTGCCTTGCCTGGCACTAGGGGGGTGGTGAGAGGAACATGCCCCTGGAGAAAATAAGGCGAATCTCGCGTCACTGGCATAGGTGGGAATCAAGCTCATTTCTCGGGACCTACTGGGGCCCCAGCGGTGGGACGGGGTGCGTGCGTGTCTCCCACGGGAGATGAGATTGTCAGTTTGGGAAAGGACGTCTCCTCCTGGAATCCACGTTCAGAATGTGATGGAAGCCGCTGGGACCTGCAGCCACCACCCGGCATGGCCGCCCCGCGGGGAACTCACTATTGGGCGGTGATTCCCGCCAACTGGGGAGGGCAACTGAAGGCCCGGGGCCGGGAGGAGGCTTCCCCACCTCCGACAAGGGCTGGGGCCTGGGAGGACGGGTCATGCAGCCTGGGTGGCAGGCGGTGCTGTGAGCGAAGGGGACAGGGGGCTGTCAGCCCCGGGCTCCCCTGTGAGCAGGGCCCGGGGATCCTGAGACTGACCACGTCTGTGGGCCCTGATGCGGCTGATGGAGAAGGAAGGGGTGGAGCTTAGATGGACACAGAGAGGACAGTCACGGTCACAGAGAGGAACCCACGTCTGGGTGCTCCCTGGATGGATTTACCCAAATCGGGAAGCAATGCGTTTAATAATGAAAGGAACCCATCAGCCAAGGGGAGAGCTGGCGGGGTCGTGGGGAAGAGGGAGCCTCCTGCGCTGCTGGGGGGAGGGCGACGGGCGGCCACTGCGGAGACAGCGCGGAGGGTCCTCAGAGAATTAAAAATGGAGCTGCCTACGACCCAGCGATCCCACGTCTGGGTATGTATCCGAAGAACACAGGACACTAATTCCGAAGAATATATGCGCGCCCACGGTCACCGCAGCGTTGTTTACCAGAGCCACGGTACGGGGCCGCCCAGGTGCCCACCAGCAGCCGAGAGGAAAACGCGGTGCTGCACATACACCGTGGATATCGCTCGGGCGGAACAGGGACGGAACCTTAGCGCTGGCGACAAGGCGGCCCGGGCGGGCCAGAGGGCATCATGCCAAGTGAGACGCGTCAGCCGAGAAAGGCAAATACCATAGGATTTCGCTTCTGTGTGGAGTCTAACGAACAGAATAAATGAGCAAACAGCCTGGAAACCGCCTCAGAGACGCAGAGCGCGGCTGCCGGTCGCCGGAGGGGGGCTGCGGGCTGGGAGAGGGAGGTGGGGGGTTCAGAAGCGCCAAATAGTCACGGGGCGTAAAGTACAGCACAGGGAATACAGTCAGTGACACCGTGATGACCACGGACGGGGCCAGGTGGGGAAAAACCAAAACAAATAAAGAGAAGAAAGGCGCGCAGCCTTGCGCAGAAAGGACCCCCGCCGCGGTCACGGGTGTAACTGCAGCGGCGCCTGCGGCCGGCGCCCGGCCTCGCCTCCAGGCCCGTCACAGGGCGTCTTTCCCCGAGTCTGTGCCTCTCCCACACGCGTCTGTGCCCGGCTCTCCTCAATCCCTTCAGGTCTCTCGTGGACGTTGGTAAATGCGGGGAGCTATTCAGGGCCCCCCGCCCCGCTCGCCCCGCGGCAGAGAACGCACCTTTCTCCCTGACTGGAAAGCAGGCCGGGCTCAGGGGAGGGCCCCAGCCCCGTGAGTAAGAGGCTGATGTCTGATTTGAAAGGGAAACCTTCGCGTTTTCAGAAGGCGTCTAAGACGAGGCAGCCATTTCCTTACGTTTCCGAAGACCTGGCAGGTTGGGCGGGACACGCCCCCAGTCCTACAGGGAAAGGGCGCCGCTCCTGCTCCGCAGGGGCCACTGTGCGGGGGGGTGTTTATTTTCTTATTTATTTAGCTTTAATGGAAACAGATATTACACAAAAGTCACCGAGAGTCTCAAGAGCTTTCCCGGGGCCGTCAGTGGGTTAAAAGTCTCGGCTTCCCGCAGAAACACAAGATTTCCCCCAAATTAATGTTTGCTTCCATCGAAACAATGCATGCACATCGTATTAAACAAAGTCAGGGAGCATTAAGGATTATAATGGAAACTGTCCCACTCGTCTGCCTCCGGTGACACTGCCTGATGACATTCATGCCCACGTTCATTCGTTCATTAGAAAACGCACTGAAAAGATTCAGATGTATTTGTGAGTCTGATTTCTTCATGTCGCCTAATTTATAAAGACTTCATTCATAAAGTGTTAAATTCACGACTCCACGGAGCCCGGTGGCCAGCCAGGCGCTGCTCTGAGGCCCGTAGCGGGGACGGGCTTCCTGCCGCACGAGACGGCGGAGCAACGTGGGGGTCAGAGGGAGGAAGCGAAGCTGGGCCGGGTGGGCAAGGCCGCAGGGACAAGCTTCCCAGGCAAGGGGAACAGAAGGCGCGAGGCCCTGTCCACACAGGACCAGGGTCAGAGGCGGCGCCCACGGGACCGACTCCACTGCAGGTCCCCACTGCATTTCCCAGGGGTCCCCAGGCGGCGCGAGCGACCGGAGTCCCCGAGGCGGGTCGTGCTGTGCTGGGGGTGTCCTGAGGGTGGACAGGACCCGAGGGAATGGGATGACTGTGCTCGTGAACCGCGTGGAGACGTGGGCCCGGCTGTGGCTGAGCTAACTACGCGCATGAGCTGCAGGAACCGCATCACCTGCGGGCGCAGCCTGTCTAACGGGGTTGAAATGTCTGCTGTCCGGGTGGCGTTGCTTTTCTTAAACCACCCAGGACACGCCTTCCCTCCATCACCGGCAGGGGAATGGAGGTGTTGGGGGTTCGAAGCAGAACAGAGGTTTAGGGGATCCCTCACCCCGCCTGCGTCCTGCCGTCTCACCCACGATAGGCCTTGAAGGCACCAGAGGGATTTTAAGACAGAGACGGAGTCCTGGCTCCGAGCTGCGTGCTCGCCGCCTCTCCGGAGGCCGGGGCTCGGCCAGGGGCCTGCCGGGGACAGTGACACCGCGGTTGCCCCGCTCGTTCCCCAGACTGACCTTTGTACGTGCGGTTTCCCTTCTCCACGGTGGGGAGGAAGGCGCTGGGCGACATCTTCCAGGGCTCCTCTTCATCCTGACGGGGCAGAGTAACGTCCCTGGGACGTGCGGACACGGCGCCTGCC